AAACAGTGTCTTTCAAAGAGCAGAAATTCTTAATTTTGATTGTCGAGCCATGGTTTTGTTTTTCTTTCATGATTTAGATTTTTTTTTTTTTTAGGGCTGCTTCTGTGAAATCTGCCTAGCATAAGGTCATGAACGTGTCCTGCTTTCTTAGAGAAAGAAATCTGAAACCCACTCACATGAGTAGAAGCCCAGTGTGGGTCAGAATGGAAGGAGGAGGTGATGGCCTCACTGCTCTAGCTGTCTTCCCAGCTCTTCGCAGTGATCAATTTTTCCATTTCAAGATGCTATCACTTCCTTATTAACCCAGGATTCACCACTAGCACTTACCTTCTCTCATTCCTCTCGCCATGTTCTGTCTATCATTAGTTGTAGATATTGTTCCTCCTGTTTGGAATAGTGGTCAAAAGATAAGTTCTAGTCAAACTCAGTGGTCTTGCCGTTTCTGGAATCCGAGGTAACGTTTACAGTGAGGATCCTGTGCACTAAACCAGATTTTTTTTAAAGAAGTGAAGCCGACAGACTGTAGCTGCATATAGCTGCATGACACTATTGTCGCTGCCCATTTTCCTCCATTGGTTAATTCGGGGCAGAACAAGAGGTGGTACTGGAACTTGGACAGCTAGAGATGGAAAGTTGAGAAAGATCCAGCCAGTCAGATTGCTGCAGGTTATCTGGGACCTGAAGTTCATGACAAAGAAGTTTTGATTTATTTTTTGTATTATTGGTAAGTCAGATATACAGAGAGGAGGAGAGACAGAGAGGAAGATCTTCCGTCCGATGATTCACACCCCAGATGGCTGCAATGGCTTGAGCTGCACCAATCTGAAGCCAAGAGCCCAGAGTCTCTTTGGGTCTCTTATGCGAGGGCAGGGTCCCAAGGCTTTGAGCAGCTTTGACTGCCTTCCCAGGCCACAAGCAAGGAGCTGGATGGGAATCGGGGGCTGCCGGGATTAGAACTGGCGACCATATGTGATCCCAGTGTGTGCAAGGTGAGGTCTTTAGCTGCTATGCTACTGTGCTGGGCCCTAGATTTATTTCTTAGGGCATTGGGAAGCCAATCATATCGAGCTGAGCAAAGGAAAGGGCATGGCTGATATGATCTTATATTTTAAATGGTAAAAGAAAAAGGAAAGATTATTATGTCAAATCTGTGAGTTATGAAGGGGACATTGTAAGAACAATCAGAGCCCTTGTGGTTTCCTGGGTGGGAGCTACAGCGTAGCGGGCTGTGATTGTAGCAAAGGAAAGCAAGCATAGTAAGTAGGTATGGAATAGATGTTTAGAAAGGAGACGTGTCCAATCAGGAGGGTCTCCTCACTGTCTCTGTGTCCAATCAGGAGGGTCTCCTCACTGTCTCTGTCCAATCAGGAGGGTCTCCTCACTGTCTCTGTGTCCAATCAGGAGGGTCTCCTCACTGTCTCTGTCCAATCAGGAGGGTCTTCTCGCTGTCTCTGTCCAATCAGGAAGGTCTCCTCACTGTCTCCGCACATCCTGTGCCGTGTCCTGTCTCAGAGCTGTCTATCAGGTCTCCTTTATCAGGCCTCCATTCTTTTATCCACTACTCTCTTGGAATGTTCTGTTTGTTTTCTTCGCTGAACTCATAAGGTGAATGTCCATTCCACAATTATTTCACTTTTGCCGATTTTTCTTCTTGTTGACAGAGCGTCAAGCAGACTGACAGCAACGTGTCACTGCCTATCCTCAATGTCTTTGTCTTCATGAGAACTAGTGTAGCACTAGGAAACAGCTAGTTGAATAATCACAGTGAGTCAATCAAGAATTATTAATGGCATCTCATAGAAAATCGATCATCAAACAGCAATAAAAAAAATTACAACACTGGTCAATCATTGACCTGGAATAGTAACGGAATCTCAGACACGGCCATTCTGAGTAGGCACATTTCCTGCAGTCCACGAGTGGACACTGCTGTACTGCGGTGTAAGTTACACAGTTAGAACTGTCTACCATACCTGAAGAGAGAGACCCTAGGCTCAGCCTCAGTTTAGGCTTTCATGCTTGTTGCAAGCTGTATCCTTCAGTGCTGGCTGTCAATCTAGAACTGAAAGCATGATTACATTTCTTGGAATCTCACAGAAATCTTGTGTAAAATGTTAAGCATTATTGAAAGAATCCGGGAGGACACGGACTCTTCAGCATACCGCATGTGGACGTAAATCAAATTGCTCTAAAGCCGGTCAAAGAAAATTACAATTATTCCAAGACCTAAATCTTGTAAAAGGTAGTTAGGAAGCAAAGAATTATAGTGCTGAATATCTCCATGTGGGAAGAGATTTCACATAAAGCACTAAATGCGTTTTAACAAGAGCCATCCACCCTATTTGATTGTGTAATTTCCGGGAAGAATTATCGAGCACAGCCATGTTTTAAATATGTCTTTGTTGAGCCATGGGCAGGACACATAATTAAGAAATTTTATATATATATATGTGTGTGTGTGTGTATATTCTATAAGAAAAATAAAAGAAACAAAAATCCAGTCTTCAAACTCACATTAAACTCCTTTCATCTCATAACTCACTAGCAAGCTGAATATATAAAGCACCTCTCACATAGGAAGTCAGAGAGCAAGGCACTAAAGCAAAACAAATACCAGTGATTAAGGAAAATTGAAAGCAGAAGTGAAAATATGTTTCTTTAGTCTATTTTTAAGTATAGACTGGGAACTGCAAATAACTGGGAGTGCTTATTGTGGTTTTTTTTTTTTTTTGTCTTTGTGATTCCATGGTGCTGAATACAAATAAGAAAAAAATTATTGCCTCAAAGTCCGGCAATCCTTTCCAGATTATTTATTTTAAACATTCACTTAATTTATTTAGTAATAAATTTAAGGTCACTCAAGTGTTTGGACATTTTGGAGGCTGGCCAGTCTTGACATGCTTCAGATTAAGTGATTTTGAGAGAAATGATTTAAAATGGTCTCTTTCAACCTAAGAAAGTGTTGAAGAAAGAAGACAAACTTTCTGCAAGTTTCAGACTTTCATAGCATTAGTGGACGATGTAAAGGCCCCGGTGATCATATTTTAATTTACACTCAACAATATTGAGGAAATTTGCCAGGGAGTTGCAGTTATCCCATGGAATAAAATTGGGTTGGAAAGGGTCAAATAAAACATGTGGGTTCTGATTTCATGGTGGGTGCTTGTTTTCAGTTCTTGCATTTCAATTACTAAATATAACCATTGTCCATCAAGTTGCTTCTAAGAATATTCTGATAGTCACATATTTGGGGGCAAGGGAGAGCAATATATATTTTATAGTTGTTTTTCTTTATCTTAAATTATTTTGGCAAAGCATTTAAAGTCAATTTAATAAAATGAGGTCATTGTTTTGTTGAATAGATGGCAAGATTATCTCAAGTATTATTTTTAATTACACTTGTAGGGACTTCTCCACTCTGTGTTTTCTCTCTCTCCTTTTAAACTTGCTTTTATCCCCTTTTCTTCCTGTTCTTCCCCCCCTCCCCTCCCCTTTCTTGGCCAGTATCCCAATTTTAATAGTTGTTTTTATAGATAATTTTCTCATTTTCCGTATTTAAGATCTTTGAATCAGCACATATCTTAAAGTTTACAGATGGGAATAAATTGTGACACACAAGGCTGCCAAGCTTGAAGGAGATCAAGGAGCACTTAGGGGAAAGCCAGGAGGCGGGAGCAGTAAGAAATATAAGGAGTTTTTCTTTTACTCAGTATTCTTTGGTTTCCACAGTTTTATCCACAGTTACGTGTGCTTGGAAAGGAATTCTAAGTGCATTCTTACCATTTGGCAAAGATAAAGAACACAGAACTGGTTGTTATTAGAGTGAGAGTATATCACTTGGTTAAAGTTGTCTAGAGCCAGTGCAGGTAAAATGTTAGGTTGAGTGATATTTTTTTCTAAAACCTGTGACAGGCTATTCTTCTGTATGTAGTTCAGAGCATTTTTTTTATTATCAAGATTATTCCATGCATTGCTTTCATGTTCTTATTTGAACTGTGCCTCATATATTGCAATTTCATTATTGAATAATATATGTAGGAGTAGACATTTGGCATAATGGTTATTATGGCAAGACACTCATGGCCTGTATTGTTATACTTAGGTTTGATACTTGGTTCCAGTCTTGACTCCAGTGACCTGCTAATACAGACTCTGGGAAGCAGGAGTGATTTTTCATGGGACTGGGTCTGTGCCACTCACATGGGAGATCTGGATTGAATTCCAGAATATCCTGGTAGTTGCTAATGGATAGGATAGAATTGATCTCTCTCTCTCTCTCTCTGAATGTGTCTGTGTCAGTGTTCTGGAAAAGGCTGCTCAGATGAATTTTCTATGCATCTAAGACAAGAGGGTCACGTGGAAGAATATTGATACAGCTTTTGCAGTATTTTGTGAGCTAAAAATTTTTATCTGTAATGTCTTTAAAATTTTAGTCAGTAAGTAATACAATCAGGAAATTTCCATGTTGCACAGGTACCAGGTAGAGTCAACTGGAGTAGCAGATACTAAAAATCTCTGTAAATCAGTCTCTAGAAGATTTTCCAGAAGATTGCCAATATTCTCCCTGAGGTTGAAGCAGGTGAAATTCACTCTAGTAAAGGCTTAGCAGCAGACTGTGATATGTAGATAGGACACAAATGATGAGGTGGAGTAAGTCGAGTAACACAGAGGCAATATTTGATGTTAATTGTGACGGATTTTTAAATGATGTCTACAAGCAGACATAATTATCCACATTCTTCATGCTTCTAAGGGACAATTTGCACAGGTGTACTCACCTCAGTCCTGCCCAGAGTGGCCACCCTTAGCTTGTACATCTTAGCTTTCAGAAATCACGTTAAGAGCCAGGCTCCCATGTGCATCACTGCGCAAGAATGTTGGCAGGTTTTTATGGCTCTCAATGTCAGGGAGTTGTGCTTTATTCCTTCAATGAAGTGTGTAGTTGAGGAAGATCCAATACCAGATGGCAATGTTGGCTAGAAGTGGGTTTTCTCACCTACATTTGGCAGCTTTACTCGGAAGTAATGCTCTCTGTGCCTGAGACTTCTCGTCTGTACTACTTAGCATGATCGTTGGGATGCTCTAGGTGGTATAGAGGCGATGTGTCACATCTTGTTAAAGGTCATGCAAGTACCAACATCTGACATCTGTGCTGAAAATGGGACTGCAGACAGCTTACAAGGTATTACAGATTAAAAAGTGGTATGTTGCTTTTGTAAAAGCACTACTGACATTCATTGCAAGATTTGTCATTTCTGAGGTATTTTTGACTCAGAGGAATAGATGATGAATTAATGAACTGCCCATTCTGAAGACAGCTCCCTCTTAAATGGTGTCATTGTTTCCCAGTGTGAATGAAAAACATTGGTTGTACGGGTGAGCATTTGGCAGTGGTTACACCACTGCTTGTGATGTGTGTTTCCCACATCAGAATGCCTGGTTTGAGCTTCAGTGACTGTACTTGCCATGCAGATTCCTGGGAGCGTGCATCCTGTAGGGCAGAAGGCCATGTCCTTGTCACCTACTTACGTGGGAGACCAGAACGCATTCTGGACTCATGGCTTCTGCAACTTGTTCTGGGCATTCAGGAAGTGAACGAGTGGAGGGAATATCTGCAGGTCTTGCTACCTTTTAAGTAAATCGAAGGGAAAAGACACTGGTTTTACCTGATGGTTTATTCATCCTTTAACAACAGCAGCAATAGCTACCATAATTTGGGTATCTATGCTGTGTTAGGACACCTTGTGTATCAATAAGTGATATAACAGTTCTCTAAGGTATTCTTACTTTGTACACGAGGCACCTGGGGCTTTGAGAGGCTTAGGAGCTTGCCAAAGGGTTACCCACTAGGCTCTTCATCCCTCTTGACACCAATCCTGCAAACTGTCCAGGAATAGAAGTGGCTTCATCTCTATCAACCACAGTAAGAGGATATTTACAAAATCCGTCCCTTAGTTAAATAAAACAGAAACAAATGTGATACAACCAGGTTTGGCCTTCATGGAGCTTGTTGTCCAGTCTTTTACCATGTTAAAGAATGATGACCTGATTTGTACAAGCATTTCTAGAAGCTTTAACATTAGGTTTTAAAAATGCAACCTGATAGTAGCAGAGATTCCAACACAATTAAAGAAAATTTTTAAAGGTAAATCTAAATGTGTTTAGCCTGAATTTGGCCTGGCTCGTCAGAGCTGCACAAATTCATTTTCACTCTGCAACCCATCCCCCTTTCAAAGCCCTAAAGCCCAAACGCCTCAGGAGTCCCCTTCATTTCCCAAAGGAAATATTTCATTCATATAATGTCTCCTTTGTAATCAACACTGAGAAATGTCACTTTGATTAAACACAACTCTGAATGACTAAGACCACAGTACAATAAATTCTCCAGAGCTATCTTTCAGAACAACTGATTGCTCTACAGTCTTAATCCTCCAGAGTCTTATTTAATCAAAATGATGTTGCTAATTAAGGATTAAAGCCTCCGAATAGAATAAAAAAGAAGGATTTTTTTCTTTCTCCTTTGGGCAGGTCAAGGAGGCAGAATCTGCTATAAGAAGGTAAAATTCCTTCTACTTTTAGTAAACTACATTATTCTCTGACATTAGGACTCAATCTAAAAAAAGGCATGAGTGCTGTGTAACATTAAATAATTGGAAAAGATAAAAAGGAAGAGAAGAGGAACTACTTTGGATAGCTAAAAAAAAGTACTGGGATAATTCCAAAAGCCCATGGAGAATGGAATTGAATGATACATTATTTTGGTGCAAAAAAAAAATTTGAAATTCATGCCTATGAAGGGTCTTCTAAAAGTTATTGAAAATATATATCCTGAAAAACTACTCATAGATTTTAACTATTTTAGTTGAACAATTACTTTCAAAGTATCTTCTTATATATATAGTGCTTATATTAATACCTTCTCATTTAACATATTTAATGTGAGTTTTCTTTAAACATTTTGTTTGATTCTATCAGTACATTTTTCTACCAAAGGTAACATTGATAGAAAGACTATTTTAGAAAAAATACCAATCTATTTCACAGAAATTCTATATTAAATGTTAAACTCCTTTTACTGAAGTTGTAAATTTCAATTTGTTTCTGAACTTTTGTCGAATGATAGATATTGTGCCATAACACACACACACACGTGATCAAACATGTGAGAACTCACTGGAAAAGTTTGGGTTCCATTGAACATAAACATTCAGAAGTTAGGGGTGAAGTATATGAGAAACAAGCACAGATTGAAGTTTTGCTAAGTTGTAAAATGTTTTCTTTCTGGTCTGGCCTTTGTAATCTCTAAAAAATCAGTTTACGTGTGCTACAATGTGAACTAGTAATAACATATGCCCCTTTTTCTGACCACATGATAGGTGCTGAATTCTCTGCCAGCAATGTATATATTATCCTCTCATAAAATCCAAGAAGAGCATTATTTTCCCACTTCAGAAATGAACAGGGCCCAGCATGGTGGCCTAGGGGCTAAAGTCCTCGCCTTGCATGCACTGGAATCCCATATGGGCACCAGTTCATGTCCTAGCTACTCCACTGCCCATCCAGCCCCCTGCTAGTGGCCTGGGAAAGTGGTAGAAGATGGCCCAAAGCTTGGGACCCTGCACCTGTGAGGGAGATTCAGAAGAGGCTCCTGGCTCCAAGCTTTGGATCAGCTCAGCTCTGGCTGGTACGGCCATTTGGGAAGTGAGTCAGCAGATGGAAGATCTTTGTCTCTCCTTCTCTCTGTAAATTTGACTTTCCAATAAAAATAAATAAATCCTTAATGAGACAGAGAGAAAGAAAGAAAGATTGAAAGGAAGGAAGGAAGGAAGGAAGGAAGGAAGAAAGAAAGAAAGAAAGAAAGAAAGAAAGAAAGAAAGAAAGAAAGAAAGAAAGAAAGAAAGAAAGAAAGAAAGAAAGAAAGAAAAAAAGAAAGGAAGGAAGGAAGAAAGGAAGAAAGGAAGAGAGAAAGAAAGAAAGATTGAAAGAGAAAGAAAGAAAATAAACTCATGAACTCACCGAGGAATATACTCTTGGTCTATTTGGTCTGCTCATGTTAAGTAGGGTTGAGATTTCTACTCAGATGTCCTCGTCTCCTGCTTAATATGGCAAGCCAACACACATCTTTTAACCTGGAAGGCAAACTTCCCAAGGTGCCTTGGGAAGATATTCGTAAGATGTTCTGATCTGTGTATGATTTGTAAGATTCCATGTTCACAGATTGAGTCATCCCAGACCTCCTGACATCTTCACTTACTTACCCAGTGACAAAAACAGGACAGCTACTATCAAAATGGAACCAGACAACAAATGAGAAATTCCAAATGGGATAAGAATGTCATAAGCCTGGTTCGTTCTTGACCATAGCTACCTCTCCGTTAAATAAAGTCATTTGTTTCTATGATCCATTGTCCTGAAGGCTGTAAGCTCCTGGCAGACACACAGTGGCTCTTACTCCTCCTGTGCCCAGGCAGACGGCTGAGATTGCCCCCCATAAAACAGCCTGTGCTGCTCCTTTGTGGGTAGGTTGCTGGGGGCCTATCTGATGGAAAAGTAACAGCAGATAATAGATCAGTGCCTGGAGATGGAGGGAAAAAAATAAGTACAGTACAGCTTAAACTAGACCATCAAGCTTTCTTTTTTGAAATATGCATTTTCCTCCATTAGTTTATGAAAATGACATATATGACTTCAAAGGATTTGAAGCATGTATATGACCTATCTGTTAAAATGCTGATTAAATTGCTCTTTTTCTTACATATCAGATTCCCTGGGTTCAAACCCTGGCCCTGCTCCTGATTCCAAAATCCTGCCAAGGCAGATGCTTGGAGGCAGATCTCTGGAGGGGATCTCTCCACCTGTTGGGTCTTTGCCATCCTTGTGAGAGACTGGATTAGTTCTTGCATCTGAGTTGTTGCCTGGCCACTCATAGTGTTTTTACACCAAAAGAAATCTTTCATTTCTCTTTCCCAAAAAACTTCTTGAAGTGGTCATGTATTTTATTTGAGGAACAAATTGACATTATTAACTCTTTCAATAAAGCCAAGTAATATGAATAATTTAAAATAACATTTTAAAAAATATCATTTATTAGTCTGGAGCTAGAGCCATGCTGAAACCACCAGCTTGGAATTCAAAATTGTATTTGCCCTGTGGATGGCAGGAACCCATCCTCTGAGCCATCACCTGCGCTTCTCTCAGCTGCGGGTTAGCAGAGAGCTAAGTCAGAGCAGAGCTGGGACTCAAACCCAGTGACGTTGATATGGGATGCTGGGTTTCAAGCAGCGATTTAACCCTGTGCCAGACGTTAAGTCCCTGGTTTTAAACATGTTTATATATTCTTTTCAATGCTACTTTACAACAGTCTTGTGAGATTTATGATTTGTTTTACAGTCCCTATTTATTGTGAATGAGTTCTGCACAAATATCCTGACACATTAATTTTTGCATGTCTTTTTATTATTTCCTTTAACTTTAGTTTTTAACTAAAGGCATTGATATTTTTATGGCTTCTTCATGCCACTAGAAAATATTCTTTAGAAATATAGTAATACAATCTCTCACCGTCATTGTGTATCAGTGAATTCACTGAATTTATTGTCATTAAATTTTTTGTTTTGCCAGTGTGATCTGTTTTTTTAAAAATAGCTTCTCTGTGTTAATTTTGTTCCCTGTTTTATTAACTTGGCATTAACACTATTTGGTATTTTTCAAATATAGTTGCTTTATGTGGTTAGTTTTCTCGATTACATTATTAAGTTCTTCATAGATAAAAATTATATCTAATGCTTCCAGCATCCCTCTAGTGGCTTTCAGAGGGTGAACACTATGTGCATTCCATAGGTACTTGGTAACAGATTGATTTGTTAGGAGTGTGAGCTCTTACATTAGCTATTTTGCAACATTTCTTTTCAGGGTTAGCCAGAAACAGAACTCCTTGTTTTCCATCTGCACTCAGTCCTCTCTTCTCAAAGTGTGATATGAAGCTTGAGCAGTCAAAGAGGTAGCCACTCAATGAATTATTTCTTATAGATTCAAGGACAAGGCACTTTCAGGCCATATGGTACCTTTGCATAATCAAGACACCTTATTTCTATCTTTTGACAAAGTGTCTTACTAATGCCTATTTTGTGTGATTAAAATTTTATTTTTCCCTGATACAAAATCGATGTCACAAGAGTGTAACCTATGATATAGATGATATGAAGTCTCCTATTTTACGTGCGGTATTGTGTACTTATATCGCCAATGTGCCCATATTTTGAGTTTCTGTGTAGCACACTTTAGAATGCCATGTGCTTTAGACGTTGTTCTTCTGTTCAGTGGCTAATGAGTTCATCAGGGAAATGAAATGTGCAGGTGGACATTTACCTTAAAGGAGTAAATTCAATTATATGCCATGATTTGCATATATTTTAATGCAGAGAAATTAACACCAAAAAAAGTTTTATCCGTGTTGAAATAAGAGAAGGACCTTTCAAGTCTTGGATATGAGATGGAAAGATAAAAAGGATGGTGACCATGTCAGGTGAGAGAAGAGCATGTGTAAGATTAGAAAAGTAGAGAAGTAGGCAAGGAGAAGTTCGATATGGATGAGGCCACATATTACAAGTGAGGTCTACAGAGGTGAATATAGAATACATTGGAAAGGTTCTTGTATGCTAACTTAATACCCTTGGGTCTTTTTTTGTTTTTGTTTTTGCATTATAAAACCAGTCCATAAATTGATTTCCTGAGAAAGTGGCTGTTGGTGTGACAGTGTAATCAGATTGGCAAAAAGCAGCCCAGTGAGTAGGCCTTTGTAATGGTCTGGGTTGAGAAGAGCTGCATTGTCAGTGAATGCGTTGCAATTTAGAGACGTTTCTGGTAGGCTTTATTGAGTGTTGGTGGTGAGTTTCAAGGTAGAAGTGAGCCAGGAATACAAAGAAATAAGTTATGGTAAGAAAATGAATGGATAGGGAATTGGCTTAGCACATCTATTTACCAAATTCTAAAGTTGGAAATTGCCATCCTGCTCTGATGACTTACCCTGGAGTTAAATTTTTCTAAAAAATATTTTTGAAGGGTGGGTATTATGGGGAAGCAGATTGAGACGCAGCTTAATTTGTCCACATTCCATATCAGGGTGCGATTTGAGTCCTGACAATCCAGCTTCCTGCTAATGTACTAGAAAGGCAATAGATGATGAGTCAAGCATTTGTGCACCTGATACCATGTGAGAGTAGAATTTTGGGATCCAAGCTTCAACCTGGCTCATACCTAGATGTTGCAGGGAACATTTAGGGAGTAAAACAGAAGATGGAAGAGCTAGCATTCTCTCTTCCAAGTATATGAAAATACACATTTATTTGAAAAGAGGAGAGAGAAGAAAGGAGAGGAGAGGAGAGGAGAGGAGAAGAGAGGAGAGGAGAGGAGAGGAGAGGAGAGGAGAGGAGAGGAGAGGAGAGGAAGCTCTCCTGTAACGAAACAATGAGTAAGATTGTAGCTTTGCATGTCACGTTCCCATGCTAAAATGTTGTAAGGTCTTTTGCACACTCGTGTTCATTCTGATGAGCCAAAAGCACAGGAGAGAAGACACGAGTTATTTGGACATTTGTGGTAGCTTAGTGTAGCCAAATCTGATTTGTTTGTTTAATTGCTTAGAGACTGAATTAGATTCTTCCTCCAAAATTATATTGAATTACATGAATCCAGTTGCATATGTGTGGAAAGTCATCTGCCTTACGCTGATAAAGGTTTAAATACTGAGGCAGAAGATGCAGTTTTTCAGGAGAATTTGAGCATTAGATCAAGAAATAATTTGAGTCTAATAATTTCTGATATTTTAATTAAACAAGCCAGAACACTGCCAAGAGATAAAGCGCAAAGGAAATCTGTTTTGAGGGGGCAGGATACCTTATCATTATTACATTTCTTGTTATTTTTGGTTGAGGTTCTGATAAGAAAGTTAATTAGGTAACAAAAAGTGCTAGTACATTTAGGTAACAAGCAGAGTTTACAAGAAAGTAATTTAAGTGCACTAATGAAAGGAGAAAATATTAGACGAAACCTTGCTTCCCGTAAGTTGACCCCATGCTTGTAGAACAGTCTCACAGGAAATCAGAATCAAAAGGTGCTACCTGGCTCCTTTATTATTAATCAGCAACTCAGGAATCCAGCAACCAGCCTACATATGCTTTGGGGAATATTGAATCTGGTATCACCTTGACCCTCCAGCTGAGTGAAAGTACATCTGAATTCTATTTTGGAAGCGAAGGGGGTACCAATTAAGAAGCAGCAGGGAAAGTGAACATCTTAACATTTAGGGGTTTTGTTACAAGGTATAAGAAGAACGGGGAATGGAACTATTGAGTCAAAGTCATAATGATCCCACACAAAAGCACAGGGGTGCTATCTTCACATTGGAGTCAAAACCAAAGGTATTAGTCTGGTGCCTCTTTTTCTCGTAGTTCATCTTGGGGATTGGGAGAAAAGCCCTTTGATTATTCCTCATGGTGTCACAGTAATAGTAGCCAGTTGCATCTAATTGGTACCATTGATTCCTTCTTTATTAACATCATCCTAGTTTTCCTTGTGTTGAATGAATATACAATTTATTACCTGAAGTTGGACTCTTTTTTAGAGTAAAGTGATGCTGTTTACGGTTACTTCTGAAAAACTACTCTGATCAAGGATTGTCCAGAGAAAACTTCAACATGTGGTCACCCTATCTTTGGGGTGATGATTTCCATCTATAAAAAGTTCATGATGGGACTGTAAATCAAGTATTCCTTTTCTTCTGAACACAGGGGTCCATACATGGCCTGGAGCAGTTCTTTTAACTTTTATTCTCCGGAGCTGGAATCATGAGTGGAATGACTGACGTGTGGACATGTTGGGAGCAGAGCCACTCATTGTTCAATAGGATTTGGCTGCAAGGCCTTGATGGAGAAATCAGAGCTCTGGTTCTTATCCCGTAAAGGCATGATGAGTTGGTCCTTCTGCAAAAGACACATGATTCCAACTGATGCTTGGTTTAATGGAGTTAGCCACATTTGCTTTCCTTACCTTCCAAAGAACCCCAAGTGACACCTTACTATTTCATTTGCCCTGTATGCAAGAGAAAGTATTCCTTCGCCTCTGATGAAGTGTTCCTGCTGTTTCATATCCCAAGCAGGGTAGTGGAGAGTGCCACCCTTTCCTCTGATGAAGGACTTGTTTGAATTCTTTGACTTCCCAATGTATTCTTGATCCCTCAAGAGGCCACTGGTGGTAAGACCTGTGGTTTGGGGGAATATTTGTGTTGGTGACAAAAACAATGTTTGCTTTCTTTAAAACAGCTATTTATAATCCTTTCAAAAGAGTCATCTACTTCAGATAAATTTATTTGAGCTATCTGAAGGGAGAGCAGGATATGACAGCAGTATTTTAATAAGGATAAAATAATTAGCAAAAAGGACATTCATTGAACTGGGAGCAGGAGAACTGACCTACTCTTATCCCTGTATTGCTTATAAAAAATTCTTTTTTTGTCTATCTGCCTATTAATTACTTAAACCACCAACAATGAAACACAAACAGTGTAACCAACATCAGAAGGTCATTTCTGAAGCTTGATTTTAAAATTAAGTGAAAAAGTGTCACGGATCTCATAGGGGAATGTCTTTGCTATTATTTGCTTGTATCTTTCTTTAAAAAAAAATTTTTGTGTGGGAGAAAGAAAGAGAACCCACTCACTGGATCAGTACCTATCCTAACTGCCCCTCAAAGACTGGAAGTGAAGCAAGGCCAATGTTGTGAGTGGGGAACTCAACCCAAATCTCCCTGTTGGGTGGCAGGGGCTCAGTTACTCGAGCTGTCCCTCTGCCTCTCAGGAAGCTGAAATCAGGAGTCAGAGATGGGAACTGAACTCGGGAACTTCAGTGTGAGACATCTAAGCCAGCATCCTAACTGCTTGGCTAAGCACTCACCACAGTTTTCCATTTTTATTTGTATTTTCAGAATAACTTTTCATAGTTGTGCTAAACAATTTTTGAAGGAAAAGCCATTCTAGACCAATCATTCTCCATAAATAGTATGTAAAAGATCAGTGGAGGATATTTATTCCTATTGATTCCACTTAATTCCATCGACGGTGAAGTTTGGTAGCTGATTTAAAAGCTTGGATAAGAACTTTGGGGTTGGCTTCACTGTAACGTAACTATTTAAAATTTTACATCAAATATTTGTCTTGATGACTTCCCCCCCCCCATTTGCTGTATCATCAAGATGTAAACCCAAACTGAAAAGGTGAATAGGAAGGTTCCTATTTTGGTTGTGTGAAAATGACAGTGCATGTAAACTCTTCTATTACCATTACAAAATAGTGGCTGCAGTTGTATGTTTCCTATACCCTGATCCTCCGTCCCACGTGAGGCAGAATTGCTTCAGTCTGTAGCAGGTTATAGCTCACACAGTCCCAAGAACACAGAAACTTACCAAATCCTTTAATTGCATGTTTTCGTCTTTTTCTGGGGATAACGGATGAGGAAGGCTATTGTACTCCCTGTCAGGCTTTTCTTCCGAACAATTCAGTGAGCTTCTGAACCTTTGTATTGTGTTGATTTCCATGCCCATGACTTATCTGTGTGACGTAAGGTAGGACTGAGTCAGGGGTCGTGTGGACACTGCGAGGGCAACCATACCCATATATTTGGTCAAATGTTATTCCAGTTGCTGCTGCAAGGATTACTGTCGTTGCTGTTGTTGTTGGGATACTTTTAAGTCAGAGTGCTTTGAGTAAATTTTTTTCTCTTCCAAACTACTGAAGGTCTAAATAGGACAAAACTTTGACCTTGCTTAGGCCAGAAGGGATTCTCCAACAGATTGCCTTCAAACTTCAAGTGTGAAAACATTGGCTATTCCTAGTTTCCTGGTCGATTGTCTTTGCACTCAAGCTGCTCCTCTTTCTTGAGCCTCCAGCCTACGTGCTTCCCTCATCAGAGGCTGGGTAGGTCAGCTTCCACAATCACAAGAGCCAGTCTTTAAAATGAATTGCTTCTTGTGTATGCGTGTGTGCGTGCTTTACATAACCTCCCTGGAAAATCCACACTCATAGAGGTACTATCTGTCTTGTCCTGATTCCTCTCTCTGTTTAATTGTGAAGGCTTGAGAATACGAAACTTGTGTCCTGATATTCGCATTTAACAGAGGCATACAACAAATTCTAGAGTCGCTGATTAGTTGCTGGACATCACTAGCTAAGTTTCTTCTTGAAACTTCAAACTCGTCATATCCTAAGCTTAGATCAATATCTGTTGAGGTCCTATTCCTCTTGCCCTGTTTCTCCATGATTTATCATATTGCCACTTACTCAGATATTCAAGTGAGAAAATGGCAGTGTCCTAGATGGTTTCTTCATTTCTTCCCAACCTGTTAGATCTACATTTTTTTCCCAAAACATATTTATTGAGTACCTAACATTTTATAAACACTATTCCAGACTTCTGGAGAGAAAACTTCCATCAGTTCAAATATTTAAATATTTAATAAATCCATTTTGTATCTTCCTTTTACCCTCTTTTTGTATTGTTTAAGATAATTTATTATCCCAAGATATAAAAGATATAGTTTTATAGGGTCTGGGATTTCATTTCCCCCCTCCCCATTTCCCTGCCCCTATCTCCCCATATCATTACAATAGTGTAGTACTTCATAATGAGTCAGAAGTCCATCAGTCTGCTTTCAAGGCGAGGACTTTAGCCACTAGGCTATCATGCCGGGCCCTCTACATTTCTTAATTTGTTGCTTTTAGTCCCCTACTTAAAGTCCTAAGCAGTCCCCTGTGACCATATGATCAAAAATCTTTGCTAATGTGTATGGTTCTTTTCGATGGGAGGATTCCCAACTCACGATCTTTGGGCGTGTCCTGGGTGACATGCTTACAGTCCCATGACTGTACTCTTTCACAAGCTATTTCTTCCTCATGGAGTTTTCTTTGCCGTTAACTTTGGGAGCATCTATTGTTTCATGAAGCCTTTATGCACCCATATCTGCAAAAAACACATCTCTGATCCTCCAAGACAGAATATTCTCTATGCTTTTAAAGCTCTGTACTTAGCTGTCTTGCATTTCTTTTTCAAAGATTTGTTTGTTTATTTGAAAGGCAGAGAGGTAGAGACAAGCAGGACAAAGAGAATTAGATCTTTAATCCACTGATTCACTTACTGGGTGGCCTGAACAGCCTGGACTGGACCAGGCCAAATCCAAGAGCCAGGCACTCCAGCTGGGTCTCCTAAGTTAGTGGCAAGGGCCCAAGTACTTGGCCTGCCTTCCAGGTGTATTAGCAGGGAGATGAATTAAAAAAAAAAAGTCAGTGTGGTGAATCTGTTGCAAGAGCCTAGTGGCTGAAGTCCTTGCCTTGTATATGCCAGAATCACATAGGGGTGGTGATTTGTGTGCCAGCAGCCCCGCTTCCCATTCAGTTCCCTGCTTGTGGCCTGGGAAAGCAGTTGAAGATGGCCCAGCGCTTTGAGACCGTGCACCTGTGTGGAAGACCCGGAAGAAGCTACTGCCTTTGGATTGGCTCAGCTCCAGTCATTGCAGTCACTTGGGGAGTGAATCAGCTGACAGAAGATCTTTCTCTGTCTCTCCTCCTCTCTGTATATCTGCCTTTTCAGTAAAAATAAATAAATCTTGGGGGAAAAAAAAAGAATCAAAGTGACTGGGACTCAAACTGCTTCTCTGCTATGGGATGGCAGACATTCTGGGTGGTGGCCTCACCCACTACACCAAAACATTAGCTCTTCATCTTTGAGTCGAACTAAAGCCAGGAGCCAGGAGCTTCTTCCAGGTCTCCCATGTGGGTGCCTTGTGCTATCCTCAGGCACATGCAAGTTGAGGACTTTAGCCACCAGGCTACCATGCTAGGCCCTCAGCTCTATTTTAATGAATACTATTTTATATCATTTTTTGTAAGCTTCTATGTTTCCTAATAATCATGAATTCTTTGAGAGACACAATTTCATACATGTCTTTATTCCAGCACCCCTGTCCCTCACACACACTGTCTGGCACAATACCTCCGTTATATCAGGTCTAGTACAGATTTAGGAGTGCCAGAGCCATGTTAAGTACTCAGACATAAAGAAACTCTATTCATTCAGAGTTCTCTGCTTATTTTTTCTGTTACATGGAGTCCATGCTAATAACTGGGTGAAACCTACCTGCTGGCAAAATATGAAAATGTTATGAATGACTGTGTGAGTTGCTGAGTGAATGAATGGAGTAATGGCTTAGACATTTGTCAGGATGTCATGCAAGAGGCAAAAGCAGGCCTATGAATCAAGTGGAGCACATTTAATTAACAAATATTTATTGAACACCTCGCAATAGCCAGGTGCCACGGATGGGTGACACATTGGCTATATGAAGCTTATAATCTGGTAATGGATACCAACAATGAAGCAAGAGTCGCAGTTCAGTAATGTGTGCTAGGATGGAGGAGGGACGCATGAAGGAGTGTGCAGTCCAACCAAAGATAGGTTTCTATGGAAGTAATGCCAGTGCTTGGCTCAAAAGGAGGGTAAAATTCAGCTGTGGACAGTGTGAAATGTAATGCTTGTTCCTAATAGAATATTCTGGTTGAGCCTAAAGGAACTTTTTATTGTTCCAGTTAGAAGCAGATTTGGAAGGTGTGGGTCAGGAAGTTATAGGAATGTGGGGCAGGTATTTTTATTTTATAAAAATAAATACATCTTTTTAAAAAATTCAAATTCAGTTTTTTTTTTCCCCTGCACCAACTTTGAGGATCATTTGTGGAGAGAAATGATCTCTATTGCTGGTCCTGGAAATGTAAAGTGTGCTTGAATTTAAAACCTGCAGTTTTCAAACCACTCATTTTTTGAAGATATGAGATAATAAATGTGGTGTTTTTTTTTTTTTTTTTTTGGAAAATGACATTTCCCTTATGAAGAAGGAGGACATGGATTAGTAATGGTGGATTACTGGGACTGGGGCAACCAATCCTTTGGATCAACTGTTGTCTAAACGAAAAATTGTATATCATTAATTTTAGAAGAGAACCCATTTATAAGAGGGCGATGTTTTGCAACTAAAGGTCTGAGTGGTGAAGTGACTGGTCTAAGCTCACTTAGCAAAGCAGCAGTTTGTCCTGCAGTAGAATTCATGCCCTTTTATTATGAGTCCAGTTTTATTTCCACAACATTATAATTGGATTAAAAATCAAATCTAGAGCTTTGAATTTAGACCTTCCAAATCTACACCTGATTGAAGCCATTAAAAAAATTAGAAATTGACCTAAATTATAGAACATTTACCTAATGCTTTTAGATCCAATTCTAAAACCTCTACACAAATTTGCACAATTAACTTCTTAGGACCTCAGTTATTGAGGACTTTAAATTAGAAAAAAAAAAGCTTCACATCCTTTCTAGTGTTATAATTTCCCTGGCTAAAGACCCTAGAAACTTACAAGAAATATTTATTTTTTTTTGCAGTAGTAATAAAATCATCTTCCTATAAATTTCACTTTTCATATATATAAACTATGCACAGAGCATAAGTAAGATTTAACTATTTTAAGAGATTCAATTACCATGGTTATGGCTTGGTATGTTATCTTTGCAGTTCTGTCCCTGTGGATCCAATTTGGGAGGTGGGGATGGTGGAAAGCAAAGGAAAAGTTATTCTATATCTTTCTCCCCCTGGACCCCAGCGTTAAAAAAACTATCCCTGGCTTTTTAAAATGTATACAGCATAAAAATGGCAGAAAACTTTTTTTAAAAAAATGTAGTTATAAATATCTCTGATTTCATTGTTTTTTTTTTCAAACTCTGCAAATTTTATTTCAAGGACTTTATTCAAACACATGTAATTATCTAAGCTAATTAGTTTTTCATACTTCCAAGGCTCTTGCATTATTGCACCTGTACACCGGCTTCATAATCCAGTAGTAATTGAACAGCAATTATTTTTCATGATGCATGTACATTTTTATATCAGATTGTTGGCAGATATTCTTTATGATGATGTCGTTTTCACTAATGAGGAAATTAGAGCGAGTTATCACATAGAGTGAGATGTCTGTTTCTGCCTCATTTCCTAGCTCTTGATATGGATTTAAAAAATTTTTTGCCGTGTAAAGCAGTCTGTACAAAAGGGAAGAGTGCTGTTATCTCTGAACCCATAGGGGTCAAAGGGAGTGGGGAACTATTTTATGGATGCAGAGCAGGAAGGCCTTGTCTATCTTGTCCATCCTCGGATAATAAACGCTGATATAAATCTATACAGTCATTCATGCACTTAACTGGATTAGAACATTCTAAGAGAAAAAAGACCAATGTTTGCACCACTTTTAACTTTTCATTGTGCCCTTCCCACAGTGACTGATAGACTGATTTATTAGTTTTACATGAAACAAGAAACAAGAATGATGGCACGACCAAAACAGACACCAAATCAACTCAACTTAGACCATTTAGAACTAATCAGCACTCAACATTTATTGAGCACCTGTTGTAAATTATGCACCATATTTTATCTTAAGGATTCTAAAGTAAATAAATCCTTAATTTTTAATTTACTCCACTAAACTTAATATGTGTTTTTGGATAGGC